GATGACCTCTCGGCTCCTCCTCCTCCGCCTCCTCCTCCTCCTCCTCTCCCCTCCTCCTCCTCCTCCTCCTCTCCTCTCTCCTCCTCCTCCTCCTTCCCCTCCTCCTCCTCCTCCTCCTCCTCCTCCTCCTCCTCCTCCTCCTCCTCCTCCTCCTCCTCCTCCGCGCCCTCCTCCGCCCCCTCCTCCTCGAGAGTACAGGATTCGGCCTGACCTGAGGAACGACAAAGAAGGAACGAAGCCCCGTGTCGTTCCAGGCAAGTCCAGGAAGTCCGAAGGAACACCAGAGAGGCTCGCCGCCAGAGAGGCGGCGGAGCGCACGCGAAACAAGGGAAGGGCCGAGCTCCTTTTGGAAAGGAAGGGCTCCTTATTCAAGCCGGGCCCTGTATCTGCACAGACACTCTCCGACGAATTGTTGGGGCGGCGGTGCGTAAAGTCGGTGGCTCTCCGTGGTGATTGATACACCGCCACCCTCCCCTGAGGCCCAGGAGCAGTCCACTGGAGGGCGTCGATGAATATGTATATATTTATATGTGTATATGTATAAATGTTGGCGAAGGATCGGAGGCAGAAGCAACTGCTCAAGCAACTGCACGAGCGCGCGGACGGCGCCCACACGCACCGCACCATGTCTGGACTCCTTTCCGGACCCGCTCCAACGCGGTACGCACCCTGGCCCCCTCGGGCCACGAAAAAAAATACGACGGATAATGTTCGTGATGTTCCGACTCTGGAGGCCCTGACTGGGCCTCGGGATCGTCGGAAAACGACTCGGGATTAAAAAAGCGATCGGGGCAATGGGTCCTAACCGCTGGGGGTGAAAACATCACGACGTCGAGGTCTGGGTACGGTGCACAGTTCTCCGGCTCGGGGGGCCGAAGAACTATGCACGGCACGCCAGACCAATCCTGGGTCGAGGATTGACGGCGCCTCGGGAGACGCAAACGCGGTACGGTGCACACAGGTCGTCTGCGGAATGACCAAAGAAATCAAAGCTCCACGCGGATGACTTGGATCTGCACTGGACACGCCTCCCTGGCGCGCGGAGCGCGCCAGGGGCGGCGCCAGAGGCGGCGCAAGGGGTTCCAGCGCCAATCCCAGACATCCGCGCGGAGCTCTGATAATGTATATTACTGCAGATTTGTCTTCTTCCAGACCTGCCCGTCCGAAGCGCCGGCCAGGACGAGGTTGTCGGCTGCGGCCGCGCAGACGACCGGCTGCTCCACGTCATCGAAAGTGGCGTCGTTCTTCAGCCCTGACATCAGGTGCTGCCAGAGGTGTCCCTGGCCCAAGAGGTGTCCGCAGGACTTCCGGGGAGGCCCCCGCGGCCTCCAGAACACCCGCAGACGAGGCCCAGAGGGCCCCTATGGGGCTCCAAAAGGCAGCAAAGAGCTGGGCCAGGGACATCTTTCGAGCCCCCGACCTGAGGGGGTGAACGCCCACGTGCGGACAGACTGGTCCCTGGAGCCGGACACAAGGACGCCCCTGCCCCAGGACGCTGCCAGGCACGTGACCGTGTCGGCATGTGCTGTGCACCTGGCGCGGGCCGAGCCGCAGGAGGCTGAGTAGAGGATGACGGCGTTGTCGTGGCCGCCGATGGCCAGCAGGTCCCTTTCCAGCACGGCCAACGCCGACAGCGGCATCGGGGAGACGCGAAAACTGCGGCCCGCCCCGGGCGCCGACGCGCCGCCATCGCCCGGGGAGGACCAGCACGACACTGGGCTCACCCGCAGGCAGCCGTCGTCGCCAACCGCGTACGCGCTGGTCGGGTGTTGCTACAGGTGCCCCTGGGCAAAGGCGTCCTCGGCCGTGCCGCTCCTCTCTTCGAGCCCCAGGGGGCCCCCGTGGGCCTGGCCTGCGGGTGCCTGGGGGATCGCGGGGGCCTCCCTGGAGAGCCCTGGGGGCGCCTGCTGGGCCAGGGACGCCTCGGGCAGCACCATGGGGCCCCCGTGGGCCTCCCTTCAGCGGGGGCCCGGGAGCTCGCGGGGCGGAGCCCTCCTGTGGAGAGCCCTTTGGGACGCCTGCTGGGCCGGGGGCGCCTCTGGCAGCACCCGAGCTCGAGGCGCACGCGGCGACGCCGGTGATGCTGCCGCTGGCGGCGACGGGCGCCGCGACGCGCGCCCGCAGGCCGCGCAGCACGGCCACCGGCGGCTCCGCGGCCGCGCCAGCCGCGCGGGCGCCCGCGCCGCCCGCCGCAGGGGCGCCCGCGCTCTGCGGCGCCGCCCCCGCGGCAGAGGGGCCCGCGCCGGGCGGGGCCCGCCCCGGGGCGCTGGGCGGCGCGGCCGCGAGGGCGGGCTCGCGGGTGGCCTCCTCCGGGGGGGGGGCGCGCGAGGAGCGGGGGGCTCGCTCCTTGCCGTCGCTCGGACGTCCATTTCCCGTGCATTTTTCGATTTCGTGCGTGTTTTTCTTATGTTGGCTCGATGGTCCAGGGTTGTCCTCGCTGGTTCGTGCCGAGAAGAAATGCACACGTCCGAGCGATGCCAAGGCTCTCGCCGAGGGGCGAAGGCTTCGGACCTCTCGTGGGGCGCAGGAGGACCCAGTGCTGCTACTGCTGCTGCTGCTGCTGCTGCTGCTGCTGCTGCTGCTGCTGCTGCTGCTGCCGGGGCGGCGCGTCCGACACGGGCATCCGGAGTGCCCACACGTCTCGTCGCGTCTCGTTCCCCGAGCGGCATATGGCCGGAGAGCGCCCGCCGCAGAGCTTGTATACGTACTGCCGCTGCGGGGGCCGACGCGCACAGAGCGCAAGTAATGATGTCTGGGCGCTGCCGGCCGGCATTGGCGGCGCGCACAGGGGGGTAGGGGGAGGAGGACCCTGACCTTCCAGAGAGCTATTTGTTAGCACGGGAGGCCTAAAAACCTAAAAAACTAAACGAAACAGCCTCAAACCAAGACGTAGAATAGCTCTGGGATAGGCTTTTAAGTCGCGTGCTATTTTTTTGCCCTCCTGGAAGGTCAGGGGAAAAGCTACTTAGAAGCAGGGGTGCTTCCAAGAAGCCTTCCCCCCTCCCCCTATACTCCGCTCCGCGCGCGGCTGACGAAGATCGATGCTTTCGGACTTCGCCGGCTCCCGAGAAATGGTCCAGCCTCGGGGCGCTTTTCCGCGGCTGCGTCTCGTCAAGGCGCTCCGGGGGGCCAGAAGCGTCCACATCGGCCGCCAGAGACCCAAAGTACACGCTCGGAACCCAAATCTCCAACGATCTGAGTGCGTCAATCCGGGCGTGTTCCTGGGTTTCGGCCCCCGGGGGGCCCCTCTGCGAGCCCCGGGATACTCAAACATGAATCCAGGATGAAAGACTGGTGTCAGGAAAGTGGTCGGGACCGCTGGGGCCGCGCATGGGGGGCAACGAAGGGAGGGGGATAGGCATAGAGGGGGAGAGACATCGACCTCGGATGGGCGATACATCGCCGAGAGATAGGCGATGGGCCCCCGATAGTGAATCCGCACGTGCCTGAGCAGGTTGGGGCTATCGGGCCCATCTCGGCGACCAATCGGCGATTCGGGGTCGATGCATCCCCCCCTCTAAGCCTATGCCCCCATGTCGTTGCCCCTGAGCCCATTGACAAGATCAGACCGGCGGATGCCAGGGACAGAACAGGGGGGGCGGTCAGCACCCCACGGAACACGAGGCACGTGCACGGGTGGGAGGGCCAGGGAGCGCAGCGGAAGCGGAAGAGGGGAGCGGGACCTCTGGGAGATTGCACTCTGCGTGGACCTGGCCGTGAGATCCATAGGTTAGTGGAACGAACAACGACATACACATAAAATCATAGCCGGAGTGCAGTATCCCCAAGCAGGGTGTTCGAACCCACTGCGGCTTCCAAGGAAACCTCTCATGCAACTCCCTTCCTTCTCCCTCATCCTCCTCCTCCTTGCCCTCCTCCTGCCTGCTCCCTCATCCACATCATCCTCCTCCTCCTCCTCCTTCTCCCTTCCATCTCCTCCTCCTCCTTCTCCTCCTCCTTCTCCTCCCACCTCCTCGTCATCCCGAACGGCATCTCGGAGCCCAAAATTGCGAGGATGTCTCCAGCGTAACGGGCTGGACCACCTCGCGCGCGGCATCTCGGACCCTAGAGCTGCGACGATGTCTCGGGCGAAACGTGCTGCGAGGAAGTCTCAGGCGAAAAGGGCCGGACCGCTTCAAGCGCGGCGTCTCAGAGCTCCGAGTTGCGGGCGCCTCCTGGGGCCTCCTGGGGACCTCCTGGGGCTTCCTCCTGAGCCTCTGGTGGCCTCCTGAAACCTCTTGGGGTTCCCAGGGGGGGATATCTAACATGTGGCCGTCTGGGCCAAAATGGGAAGCCACAAGAGCAAGAACAATCAACGAATCGACACCGGATGTGCATCAACTTGACACGTTCTGATAGGGGGCCTCCTGGGGCCTCCTGGGAGCCTCCTGGGAATCTCCTGGGGACCCCTGGGGCCTGTCCTGGGCGTCCTGCGGCCTCCTGAAGCTCTCTGGGGCCTCCTGGGGGCTCCCAGCGTCCCAGGGGGGATATGTAACATGTGGTCTTCGGGGCCCCCAGGCTGGACCACCTCTTGCGCGGCATCTGGGAGCTCAGAAATGCGAGAAAATCTTGTGCGAAACAGGCCGGACCACCTCTTACGCGGCATCTGGGAACTCAGACTTGCAATAATGTCTCAGGCGAGACGGGCCGGACCACCTCGCGCACGGCATCTCAGAGCCCAGAGTTTCGAGGGTGTCTCATGCGAAATGGGCTGGACCACCTCTTGCGCGGCATCTTGGACCACCTCTCGCGCGGCATCTGGGAGCACAGAGTTTGGAGGATGTCTCAGGCGGAACGGGCCGGACCACCTCTCGCGCGGCATCTGGGAGCTCAGAGTTTGGAGGATGTCTCACGCGAAACGCCCAATCCCCGACAACTCAGAGACGAGAGTTGCGAGGATGTCTCAGGCGAAACGGCCCGGACCAGCAAATTTTGTTGAGGACGTCTCTGCTTTGAATTCCCTCGGCCGGAGTTAGCTGCTATCACAACGGCACCCCGTTCAGCAAGCTGTTTGGGGAAAAAGGTCCGCGCGGATTCCTCGGATCGGCGATGGACCCCCCTGGCGGCGCCTCTGGCGCCGCCGCGCGCCAGGGAGGGGGGTCCAGCGCCGACCCGAGAAATCCGCGCGGACTTCCGAGTTGTTCTGGTTACGTCATCCTCCGTTCCCCCAACATACCCCCGTCCCTCATCCTCCTCTTCGGGCGCCCAGGGCTCCTCGGCGGCGCTGGCGGCCACATGCCTGACGGCTGCGTACCACGCCTCCGACTGCACCGGCTCTTCCAGCAGTCGCGTGGGCTCCCAGCGCGGGCTGCGCAGCCTCTCGGGAGCGGCCAAGAGGGGGGTGGGGGGCCAGGGACGTAATGAAATAAGAAGAGGCGCCATGAAATCTGGGGAAATATCACGGCCAACGCCATGATATCCACCCCCCCTAGTCATCACCCCCCTCTTTGCCGCCCCCGAGCCTCGGCGGATGGGCCTCGGCGAAGAGCTGCCGCGGCACGCGCCCGAACTCCTGCAGCTGCGTCTCGAGCACGTGCGGAGGCATCTCCGACACAGACGGGGGCTGCGCCCTGGCGCACGAGCCTGCGCGGCCAGCTATAAGGAGGTGAGAGCTTATGGTGTCTGTTCCACGGGAGCCTACGTGGCCCCCAGCGCTGTCCGAATTCAGCCTGATCTGGACCGGACTTGGAGCACATCTGGGGGCGGGTGTCGACTGGTCTTGGGCCCGATCCGCCCCGTCACAAGGGAGACGAGAAGAGCGAGGATGGGGAGGAGGACAAGGAAAGACGAGCGGGCGGAAGGGCCCAACATGCAGTCCGAGTGCGAGTGCGGCGCAGATGCGGGAAGGAGAGCCGATCTCAGTGTCGCCGCCCAGCATGTTGCTATTCTTCTCATCTCCCTCCTCCCTCATCTCCTCCTCCTGCTCCTCCCCTCCCCTCCCTTTGTCGCCTCGAAAGCGTGAAGAACTGCTCTTTTGCGCCGGCGAGGGGCCTCTCCTCTCTCGTCCAGCCCCCTCTCCTGGAGGCAGCTTGAAGCCGCTCGGGGGCCGCTTAGGAGCCTCCATGGGGGTTCGTGTGGGCCTCGCGGGGGTTCTTGTGGGCCTCGCGGGGGCCTCGCCGTCTCAGGCGCCTCTCGGGCCGCCTTAGGGCCATTCTTGGAGCCGTCTGGGGGCAATCTTAGGCTGTATCGTGGCAACCTTAGGCTGTCTTGGGCCCCTCTCGGGGTCCTCATCGCCTTGGGCTGTCTTTGGCGCTTCTTGGGCTGTCGGGGGTCGTCTTGGGGCCCTCCTCGGGAGCCTCTTGGCCCGTCTTGGGTCGATCCTGAAGGCCTCTGAGGCAGTCTTGGACGTTTGGAGAACATACAACAGCAAACGAGAATATTCAGCATGTACAAGTTTTGCAAAGCAAATGGTGCAACGGTTGCTTCTCGGGGCCTTCGTCAGGGTCGTCCTAAATCGGCGGTGGACAAACCTCCCCCTAATAAATCTGCCCTTAACGACAACGGCCTGGGACCGAAACCGACGGCCGCGACGCCCTCTCGCGAACCGAAACGGCCAATTCCTTGATCGACTTGACAGGAGGTCTATCCACCTCCGACTAAAGCTTTCTCAAGACCACAGTGGGGCTTCTTGAGGTTATCTGGGGCCGCGCGGAGAACATGGCGAGGCAACCTGGAGGCTGCGGAAGACATGTGGAAGCAGTCGGAGCCCGTCTGGGAACGGGGCTGGTGCCGCCAGGCACCGCCGGCACCGCCGGCACTTGTGCCCCCCACTTAGATGAGCGTGCGGTTGGCCATGGTTTGCACAGCTTGCATGTACTTGCACGTGGGCATCAAATTTACAAGCAAGCCATTCGCAGACTACTGATAAGCCAATTGAATTTACAGAAGAGTAGATGCTAAGATAGACACGCCACACAGCATCCCCCCCTCCCAAAGAAGAATGTTCCTTTGCAGGATGCCGCGAGAAAGGCAACCGCTACGTAATTCAGGTGTTCACTCACAGCTTCAGCTATCAAATTGAAAACACACATATACAAATGTTTCAGCCAACGGACTCTTTAGCTAAAACGCGAACACGGAGACATACAGTTTTAGGGATAGCAAGACAACTTCGCGTCTGAAAAAAACTGTTGAACTAGTGATGTTTGAATGTGTATGGTATCGGAAAGTGAATTTACCAGCGAGCATTGCATCATCACCAAAGCAAAGGAATACAATGCAAGCCTGAGAGAAGCCTGTGTGTGTCAGATCTTGTTTCTATTTCTGATGCAATGAAGGTTTTGAGGTTCGCACTTTATCGTTAATCGCATATGATGGAGCTCTGTGCATTTGTCCGATCATAGCAACTTGCCATACACTCTAAACATGATGTGTGGTTTGGATCTCATGGTTTCTGATCGTACGTTTCGATATGATGGTTAGAACGTTCGCAGTTGAGGGTTAGCTAGTCCTACATGCTCGAACTCAATATAGTACGTCTCGCTTTGTATGACTGGCATTGCAATTTCCTATCATCGCAATGTTCATTTCCGTATTCAGCATGACGCTCGTCCACAACTTTGATGGCTCGAGGCTATATGACAAAAGCATGTTCAACTTACCGGCCGCATTTTGCACCACCACCCCAATTAGCAACTGCAATCTAAGTAGCTGAAGTTTTGTGTTGAATGTCACGGTGATGTCTGATTTTTCGGAATGCACGTTTGATTTCCACATTTAAGCTAATCGTGTGGCTTCCGGGCCGCGAACAATACGGCCCGCACGATTGCAGCACGTGCAAGCGACGTGCATTGTCACTTGGAGAAGCGGGGTGTTGGCAACGGATGGGGCAACGTGGTTCAACATTGGCATTGACTACTCCGACATGCGGGAGTATTGTCTCTTTGCACGGTGTTTAGTAACGCCCGATAGCGCTTGTCATGTACCAAACACAGGTTGCATGTGAATGGGCCCTACAGAGCATGTAACAGTGCGTGCCCGTGCCCAATGTCAGCTGTTCACTGGTTTCAGTATCGACGCTCGTGATCTGCATGTCCCATGTAAAACATTCATGCGGCAGCTCACGAGCGCAGAAGGAAACATGCGCGCACCATTCAGCACTGTGCCCATCCGCCTGGACAGTCCATGCTTTGTTCAACCATCGCTGGGATAGCAGTGTCCCAGATTCCAGCTCACATTGCTTGGAGATGGCCTGTGCCAGGTTACAGCTCACATCGTGTGCTTCGTCAGCGGGCGTGGGGATTTCTTGCGACTGTGCAGTAGTCAGAAAGATTGGCAAGAAACCATGCCAAAACCGAAGACCAACTCAGCACCCGCCTCACCCCCCTCCAAACTGGCCGGAACTTCCCAGGAGAAGTTTGGGGACACATCTCAGACGCCGAATGACCCCGCAAACACTGCAAAACATTTCCGGTTGTGCCGGGTTCGCTCGCCGTTTCGTTTCCCCTTTCGTCGCCGTGTTTGTCCGGCTCTGGCTCCGTTTCCGATGTCATCGCTGGTTTTTGTTACGCTTCGGTGAGCCGTGTTTTTTGCGTCTTCATACTCAAGAGCCGTTTGCAGGGCCCACCAAGGGCACGCGGCCTCATGGATCCTACGTCTCGCACGCCATCTTAGAGGCGAGGGGCTGCTTCGAAGGATGCCCCCGACCTGCCGCCTTTTGCGTACTGCCAGGAGCCTGTGTAGCAGACTGGGTGGAAGAGGTTGTCGGCCTTCACCGCCTCCTCCCCGGCCTGCTTGCACCCGAAGATCAGGTCTATCCAGGCAGGAAGATGCTGGGACACCCACTCGCTCTCAAGGGCCGCCCGCATCTTGCAGACGAAGTCCGTGATACCGCTGGCCCACTGCGGCAGCACGACATCGGCGAGAGGGCCCTCCCCGGTGGCGATGCCCAGCCCGTTCTCCAGCCAGCTGGCCGGCAGGACGAAGAACTCCGGGATGAGCTCCATCAGGGAGGCCGTGCTCTCGTTGACCGCCCTCCAAGACTCCTGCACGCACTTGAAGCCGCCAGCCCCGCGTGTGGTGGGCAGGAGCGCCGCGAGTGGCCACGGAGAGGCATGATCTGGGGGTGGTCTCGAGGCTCAGGAGGGCAGCAGGAGACACAGGGAGCGGACGAGGGCGCGGAGGAGGAGGGCGACAGCGACGAGGGCATGGGCGAGGTGGCGGGCGGGCGCGAGGCCGAGGACGAGGAGGACGAAGGGGAAGGCGGACGAGAACGAGCGAGCACGAGGAGAACGAGGACGGGGAGGACGAGGCGCACGAGCGCAAGGAGCAGGGCATGCGAGGTCGAGGACGAGGACGAGGACGAGGAGAAGGAGCAGGGCCTGCGAGGGCGGCGGGCGCACGAGGCGCGCGAGCGTCTCTTGGACAGCCTCGCGGGGGCGTCGAAGTGCCCGCCGTGCATGCGCAGCATCCGCTCGGGCATGCTGCGCAAGAGCCTGCGGGGGCCCCCTCCTCCCCTGAGATCCAGCGCCTCGGTCCTGTGTCGGGGCGCGGGGCCATCACGGGTCGATCCGGCTCGGGAAATGCCGCGGAGAGATGGTGTCTGGGGCTGTGGTCATTATCTGTCTGTCATCATTTTCCCTGATAGAGTTCTGCTGGAGGGATCTACTTGTGGAAGGCCAACAGGCGACTCTCACAAAAAGGGACGGGGAACTCCAGGACGCCCAGTCGGGCAGCCGCTTGGCCTCAGACATCCGCGCGACTTATTCCAGAATCGTGCCTTCGCCGATTTGCTGGCTACATGTTGGTTCCGGACGGCCACGATCCCTCGTACATCACTCACGTGCACACGGCCGTGCTCTCACCCCTGTCCCAGCTGCATCGTGTTCCTGAGGTTTTGAACACCTGTCCCAGGCCGAACACTTTAATTGTCCTGAGGTTTTTGAAGGATTTTGACATTTGCTTCTTTTCGACCTTCCGACGGCCCGAGGCGGCCCAAAAGCACCCAAAGATCGCCCAAAGATCGCCCAAGAGGCTTCCAAGATGGGCCCAGAACGGCCCAAGAGGCCCCCAAGACGGCCCCAAGAGGCCCCCCAAGACAGCCCAGGAGACCTTTTAAGACACCCAAGATGACCTCCAAGACGGCCCTGGAGCATTCCAAGAGGGCCCCAAGTCGGCCCAGAGAGGCCCCCCCGAACGGCTTCCGACGGCGTCGGATGGGCCAAGAGCCCACCAAGACGGCCGAAGATGGCCCTAACATGGCCCAAGACGGCCCAAGAGGCCTCCAAGAGGGCCTCCAGGAAGGCCCAAGAAGGCCCAAATCATTGATTCCCCATAGGTTTGTAAAGGATTGTGGCATTTGCTTGTTTTCTGCCTTCCGACGGCCCGAGACGGCCCAAGTGCACCCAAAGATCGTCCAAGAGGCCCAAGACACGACCCCAAGAGGCCCCCAAGACGGCCCAAGATGTCTCCAAGACGCTCAAGATGGCCTCCAAGACGGCCCAAGAGCCCTCCAAGACGTCCTCCAAGAAGGCCCGAAAGGGTCAAAATGGCATCCAGACGGCCAAGATGACCTTCAAGATGCCCACGTGTTCCCCGAAGGCTTTCGAAACCGATTCGGGAAACACATGATCCGATAGCTTGGCAGGTCTGGCCTCAACGTTCGGCTACATAGGCACTTCCAAAAAGGCAGGGTGCGGCGGTGCTTCGCCGTAGGCGTCTTCGATATTCATGGCGAACACACACACACACACCATACGAATGGCGTTGGAATAGCGTGCAACATCGACCTCCGAAAAACACGCTATCCCTGTGAGGCGATCCCTCCGCGAGGGCCCCTTCTGCCCGCGCTATCCCTCTGCCATGGCTTCTTCGGAGCACGCTATCCTCAAGGTGGAGATATTTTGAAGCGGACTGGCGTCGCCACATCGCACGTATCTGCCCGAAGCCAACCGCATACATAGAAAGACTTACCCTACGATGACTTACACAGGCCAACCCTCCAACCAACCCTCCGGCCAATCCTCAAGCCGACACTCTCTGGTACACCTTGGCACCCCCTCCATGACATCCCCTCTGGGAAACGCTGGTTCAGCAGGGTAACTCTTCCAACAAGATGTGTTATGGTGTTAGAGAGGGGACAGGAAGGCAACAACCGCCGAGGCGAAAGCGGCATTCGGAACGACCGAAGACGTTCCGAGCGAAACCGAACACACACACACAGAACATACCACTGTTGGAGGCCCGGTGCTCCCAAGATGTGGAAGGAGAGGAGGGGGGTCATATCGTCCTGAGGACGGGGGATAAGAGAGGGTGGACTTCATGATGAATAGCACCTGAGTCGGGGAAAGACTTGGGTTCGGGGGGCTCGGGCTGGCCTGGCGGGGCCATCGTGAAAATGACGGGACCCAATCTGAAATTCGAAAACAGCCGCTGCAAACATCCTACGAAAACTGGACCGTCAAAATCCCGGACGCGCTCGTCCCCGACTGAGAAAGGAGTGGAGGGGGGAAATGGGGGAGGATGGGGCGGGAGAAGGAGGCAGGGAGAGGAAAGTTATGGCGAATGCGAGGTGGGCGGAGGGATGGGGGGGAGTGGGAGTGAGATGGAGGGAGGGGAGGGGGAGAACAGGGAAGGAAGGTGGACGAGGGACAGAGGGAGCGGTGTCTCCGCGTATGCACGCACAGCGTCGGGAAGTCAGTGGGGCGGGGCGAGGAACCAATATATGACATAAGCGGGCGTCGAGTAGTGCGTGCCGTAGAGGAACTGCTCGTCCTCCTCCATGGTCCGCATCCGTTCCTGCGCGCGCGCTTGCTCGGCTCAGACACACCTGGAACCATGCACACCTGGACCAGGACGCACCACAGCGTCGGGGCCATGCAGGAGCAGAAAACGGCGCACTCCACACGCGTCGCGCTCACGGCCGACAAGAGCAGGATCACGTGACAGTACCATGATACTTGCTGGTCCTGGCCTTCCCCCCTGCAGGCAATACGCGTTCCGCGGTCCTTGAAGTACTCCAGCCGCTTCTCGCATAAAGCGCCCACCTTTTATAGAAGGGTGCCAAGAGGAAACGACGGGAACGCAAGTCCGAGCTGGAGAGCGTTCCCTCTGGACGTCCAGCAGTGCCAAACACAGAGGGGGGAACTTACTCGTTTGATGGGCGCCCACTTCTCCGCTTGATCTTCTATCCCTCATGCCAACACTTCAGACAATATACTCACAAGGAACTCGATCAGACCTAGACCACACGGTCAACACAACAATGCGAGTTACCGGTCACGTAATCCCCTCTTGCCCCTCTTCCTCCTCCACCTTTCGCATCCTTCTCAAGATCCTGCCCTTCTCAGCAAGATACTCATCGGAATATTACAAGCACGCAAACATTTTCACATAAGCCCCTTCGTCAAAGGCCTTATGGTCCATGGAGATGCCCAACACAGGCGATGCGCAGCCCACATTGCAGACAGCAACAGCACGAGCCACACCGTGGTGGCCCTCCGGTGCCAGGGCTGCTCTCCTCACCCCTCGGGACAGCAGCACCACGACAACAGAGAACTCGGGTACACGCGAGCACGGACAACGGACCCACGCATCGGGGAACAAAAGCCCGCGGAAACGGGAGGGCGACGGAACGCTCCGATCTCGCATGGAAGAAGGAACCGTCGCAGCAATCCACGCGCCGTCATCGATTGCTGCGCTTCCTCGAACTCTTCAACCCCAAGCACTGGCGATCCCAGACGCGAAGACAAACGGGAAAGAAGACGGCGGCCGCGGACGAGGAAGGACGAAGGAAGCCCGTCCAACGAGAGTCGGCACTTCCACGAACAGGCGAGACGAGAAAACCACAAAACGCACCCTCCTCCTGGGGGAATAAAAAGGTACCCATACTGCTACCCCCTCGGACCTCTCCCTGGCTGCGTTTTGACCACAATCTCGAGGCGAATCCAGCGATGGCGACGAGGGCCCCCAGGGAGGCCCAAAACATTTGAAAACCATGAGAGGCTAGCGGTATGGGTAAGTACCTTCTCGTCCTCTGGGGGCTCGTGCCCCGGTGGAACGACAAAGCGGCAAAAAACGCACCCTCCCCCTCCGCCCTCCCGACGGAGGCGGACGGGCGCGGAGGAGGGCGGGGAACTGACCGCGCGCGCCAGGATGAAGGGGCCCCGAGACACACAACTAATACATACGAATCAAAGGATTCCCCATATGCTCCCATATTTTCTGGGCTTTTGCCTTCCCCCCCACTTCCCATATCTTCCAACATGTTCTGGGAAATCGCCGATTCATTGTGTCTGTGTGCTTCTTTCCCTCCTGACAGGACGCCCCCCTCCCTCCCCCACCGGCTTGGCCAGGTCCCGGTACACGGCCGGGTCCTCCAGCCTCGCGGCGCGGCGGGGGGCCCCGCGCCCCCGGCCACTGGAGGGGCGGGAGGGGACTGAGGAGGCTCCGGCTGCCGGGTGGGCCTCGCGCGCGCGCCTGCGCAGGGGCACGAGGTCCAGGTGGAGGACTAGAGACGTGCAGCCAGACACGACAGGGCAGTTTGTAACACATGGGATGTTTAAGCACATGGGATTTCAATACATGATTAATTCATGAATGAATGTATGCATGAACTCATCGTTTGTCTGTACTAAATCCCCGCATTTTTTATACATGATCCGCACGCGGAGCATGTATGAAACACGGCGCTGTACAGGGAAGGGAGAGGAGGGGGGGAGAGCGGGAGAGGGACGAAGAGCAGGCGGAGGGGGAAGACGGAGCGAGGGGGCGGAGGAATGGAGGAGGGGGAGAGGGGAGGAGAGGCAGGAGGCATGGGGGGCGCGCAGGAAGGAGAAGGGGAGGCAAGAGGAGCAGCGTGGAGAGAAATCGGAGGAGGGCGGGGCTGCGAGAGGGACCAGAGTAAACCCAAGATGCAGCAACGATGCTTCAATACCCCCTCCGGCCCAGGTCCCTTTCTCACAGGTCCCCACAAATCTTCCTTTTACACTCAAGAAGAAGAACCCCGCTGACAGACCAGTGTGTGGATTGCACGGGAGTCCCTCTATGGATACAGAGAGACACGGGGTACAAATATGTGAACCCGTGCTGGAGTAGAGTACGTTCACTTTCCTTTTCACGGAGGCGTGGGCGCGTCCGTCACCGGCGCGCCATGGCAGCTCAAGAGCCCTTGTGAGACGATATGGCGGCGCACAGAAGAATACAGAGAGAGTGGAGCAGGAGGAGGAGAAGCCGACAGGGACCTGACAACCACACAGTGCCCATGGGCCTTCCACTCGGGCGAGGACCCCCCGTGTTGACAAATGAGCTGGCCGCCTGGTACCCTTCCAGCGAGAACCAAGAAATGCACGAAGGTATGATCACACGGCTTAGCGAGAGGTCGAGGGAGATCTCCGCTTAGAGAAAAGACCGCCCCCCCCCTGTGCAATTCTTGCACAAAGGATCACGTCTGGAAAGGGGCGCCGAGGCAGTCTCGAGCGAAACCCCGTGTTGAAACGGGGCCCCCTCGATCCGTACAAGTGAACCATGCGCTCAGGTTCCTGGTCTGTGCAAGTTGAACTCCCAAGCGAACGCCAAAGTTGAAAAAGAACCGCCCTTTAGTTGTGCAGGAATTACATCTGCTCATGCTCCTGGTTTGGGTAAAACTGCAGAGGTCTCAAGCGAAAGCCTAAGTTTGAAAAGGAACGCCCAAACCTGCAACTGTTCCAAGATGTCACGAGGAATGCACGCGGCGCCAAGGGGAGAGCCCCATTTTGAAGAGGAGCCGCCCTTAATCATTGCGACTGCCGCGTTACTTTTTTTTTACTAGATGTCATGTACGCATATCTTCGCAATTAAATGCCGTTTACGAATGTAAAAGGAGCATCCCAGATGTAGGACCCCACTTGATAATCAGCCAACTAATCTGAACACAATTCGTATCGTCGTCCTTGTCACTACGGAGGCACTCGTCCTATGACGGTCCTTGTCCGACGCTTACCAGATTTGTTGAGGATGTCTGCCTCGGATTACAGACTTGCTCTCGACAAAGGAACGAGGCTCCCGCTCGAGACTCCTTCAAAATTCAAACTCCCAGGTGTCACCAAACCTGTGATTGAAAATGGTATTCCGATGACCACCTCGGATTATCAGCATGTAGCGGGGGGCCCACAGGTAGGGGGTTCCCGCTCGAGACGCCCTCGCAACTCACTTCCCCAAGGAACGTCCGAGACATCCTCTCGCTTTGCTCAGGATTTGCTCAGGAACGAGGCTCCCACTACAGACTAAACCTGCGCTTTCACATGGTACCCCCATGGCCGCCTCGAATTACCAACATGAGGTCAAGACCTCATCCAGTCTAGGTTCAATTGAGAGGACACGCGACAGGACACAAGTCCCTCCCGAGGGCCACAGTGCCATAGGAATGTAGGAAGGAGCCAAACCTTATACACCGACGCTGTTTCCGGCCCCGCACTGAAACTCGCACAGGAAAGCGATCCTGGTGTATACGAGATCCTGGTGTCTACATGTTTCGCTGCTTCCCAGGGACAGCAGGGAAACACGTATACACAACACCACCACGGCGTCGAACCCCCGACCGTCAAAAAGTCCTGGGATTGAACGGCAGCCCGCCTGTGGTAATGTACATGTTCCAGCTTCCGATGTAGAAGGCATGGGTCGCGAAACACAGGACGCAAGGGTACCCTTGTTTTGGCAGTGTCGACCTACTAAATCAGCCTGGACAGTAGGGAGGGGCTCGCGCTTGAGACTTCCTCGCTATCCACTGACAGACCAATGAGCACCCGAGACATCCTCCCAATTTGCGCAGGAACGAGGCTCCAGCTCGAGACTTCCTCGGGATTCAGTCTCCAGGGTGTCACAAACACTGTTTTTTTTGTTCGGGATATCCCAATGACTGCCTGGGATTACAAACGCTGTGTGGTGACTCCATAGGGAGGGGCTCCCGCTCGAGACCTCCTCGCGATTCACTTACAAACAAATTAACGCCCGAAACATCCTCTCACTCGCACAAGAATGAGGCTCCCACTAGACACTTCCTGAGGTTCAAGCTCGCAAAGGTCACAAAGCCATGTGTTTTTACCGGGTACCCTGACGACCGCCCCGGATGATCAACATGAGGTGAGTGCCCCGTAGGGAGGGGTTCCCGCTCGAGACGTGTTCGCAATTCACTTAAACCGAGTCTCCTGCTCGAGATGTCCTCAAGATGTGTGTGTGTGTGTGCGTGACTGTGTGAGTGTGCGTGCGTGTGCGAGTGTCTGCGACGATGAGGATGGTGGTGATGATGACGATGATGATAATTATGATAATGATGATGCTGATGATGATGATGATGATGATGGTGATGGTGATGGTGATGATGATGATGATGATGATGATGATGATGATGATGATGATGATGGTGGTGGTGGTGATGCTGATGTTGATTGTGGTGTGCGAGTGTGTGTGTGGGTGTGTTTGTTTCTGCGTGGGGGTGTTCAGACAAAACATGAATCCCACTTGGGATGTGGGGAATTACAGCGAATGGTCGCGGCGCTGAGGCGAGAGCCTCAGTTTCAAAGTCTGTGGAACTTATCGGAGCGGTTAAAACGAATGTGCACTAACGCCAGAGCTTCATTTTGAAAACCACCCCTCGCGACCCTTGATAAGTTGTGAGGACGTCTTGGGCGAAACGCCTGGCCAAATCCACCGACACGCCTGGGGGTGCGACAGTGAGCATCTACTTATCGGGAAAAGGGGCGCAGGAGGCGTAGGACCAGGGTCATCCAGCCCCGGCGCGGTTGGGGGAGCCCGACACCCTCATCCACTGAGGGCAGGGGGAGGAGAGGGGGGGAACAGGAGAAGGATGAGCACCAGGTGGGGGGAGGAGACAGGGGGAGGGCGCGAAGGCAGCGAGGAGGGCGGGGAGGGAGAAGCCAGAAAACGGGGAGGAGGAGCAGGGAGGAGCAGGAGGCAGATGAGCAAGGCGGCCGGAGAGGAGTCGGAGGAGCGAAGAAGAGGAGGGGCAGGAGGGAGCAGGAGGCTGCACCAGGGTAGGGGAGTTGGAGGAGGGGAGGGGAGGCGTGAGGAGGAGGAGGGAGGCGGAGAGGGAGGGCGGCGACAGCGCAGGACGGAGAGAACGGCGCCTCAGGGTCCCGCTTGTGTCCGCTGGCCCCGGCTCGCCCCGGATGGCGTGGCGCGCGGGACGCCCCTCCTATACCGCCTGCGCAGCCCCCTCGTCCTCCCTCTTCCCTGCTCCCTCTTGCCTCCCCCCTCCTCCCTGCTGTCTCCCCCCTTCCCCCTTCGCACCTCTCAGCTGTCACGTGTGTGCTTGCTCCTCACCTGCCTGGGTCAGGGGCGCTCGCCCGCAGGCTCCCTCGACAGCCGGGCACGCGAACCTCGGCCATACCGCCGTTCGATCGATCCTCCCTCCATGGATCTCCCCTCCGTCCCTCCTCCCTCCTCATCCCTCCTGCCCGTCATCCTTCCGTCCCTTCGTCTTTCCTTTTCCTTCTCGTCTCTCCTGCGTCCTCCTGGTCCCCTTGTTCCTCCTCATCCTTTTCCTCCATATCCTCTTCATAGTCCTCATCTTCCTCCTGCCCCTGCTACTCCTCGTTTCCTCCTCATCATGTTCCTCCATATCCTTCCTCTTCATATTCCTCCTCCTCCTCCTCCTCCTCCTCCTCCTCCTCCTCCTCCTCCTCTGTCCCAAACCTCCACCTCATGTTCATGATTGGCATCAGTATCATCATCAGCCGCATCAGCACAATCACCATCACCATCACCATCATCGTCATCATCATCCTCAGTACAATCACAATATTCACCCCACGATCATCAGCATTATCAACATCACCATCACCATCGTCACCATCATCATCACCAGCACCATAATGACTTCCATAATCAACACCATCGTCACCATCATCACCATCGTCACATCACTATCGCCATCAGCATCATCAGCAGCAGCATCATCATCATCAGCATAATCCGTTTCCTGCCCCTCCTCGTCGGTGGCAACGCCGACAGGACACCTGGTTATTACTGCCCCTTCGCCAGTGGCGCCGCCTATGTCGCAGATGCTTACATGTGGCGCTGCCGCTGAGAGTGCTGATGCCCCCTTCCGCGTGCTGATCGGCGGGCGGACCGTGTCGCCCGTGCTGACAATGCTCAAGGAGAACCCCGCCGTTGCTGCGGTTGTTTCGCCACCCCGCCCTCGGCATCGCCCGTCTCTTCCGAAATGCGGTTTCACGGAGCTTGTGAGTTCGGTTGCCCGCGGGTTTCCTCGCCAGGCCCTCGGTGAACATGTCTGTCGTTGCTGGCCCGTTCGGGGCCATCAAAATTCTGGCGCATTAGAGGTTGAGCGAGGGCAACCCGGAGCACCCGCCGGGGCCATTTTTCATCCGACGTCGTCCGGCGCGCACTGTAAGCCGCACGTATCTGAGATCTTCGGCCCGGAAAAATCGTTGTCACCGCAAACACAAACACAGCAAACTGAGCAATCCGACCAGGCGGGTTCAAAAACAACGCGAGCTCACGGATGTCCACCGAGGAGGGCGAGAAACAGAGAGAACGAGAAGAAAACGAACAAGCTTACACATAAACCCAAGCCAGTTCCTGCTGCAATTTCTGGCCGCGCCACTGCCGCTGGGGGAAAAACGGGAGAGATGCCCACAACAAGTTACCAACATTACTCCAGCATCAACCCATATAGTCGTGATTTGCTGGCCCCCGAATTGAACGTATCGGCGGTGGGCTCAAGTCAGAATCGTTATTCCGACGGCCAGCCCTGCTTGTGCGCGGCCTGTTACAATGGAGCTGAAACGGAAGGGCCCCCCGCCAGCGTTGCGCCACCCCTCTCCGCGAACGCACGCAGCTCCACGCAACAAACGCCGCATACGACACATGACGCTCGATCCTACACTCCTCAGCCCCTCCCATACTGGCACAGTGGCTACGGGGTGGATGGGGGGGCAGAACCAGGTCAACACGCCATGAGCCGATGCCGTTTACGGACAAAAGGTTGCTGGCGCGGCCCGCTCAACTCGGGGCACCCTGGAAGCGCCCCGAGCCTGCCAAGCGATCTCTAGGGTTAGGAGGTTCCCCCGCCTTCGCCCCCTCTCACCCATCTTTATGTTGTAACTCTTGTTTAAAATTCACCCACCTCGCGCACGCTTTGTCTCAGCCAAGCCACTGCTGGAGCGCTGCGACGCAAAAGCCAGCCAATGAGAGAGGAAGGGGAGGAGCAGAAGTGGATGGGGAAGACATAAACACTGAGCGGACTACGGCGGCAGCCTCAGGAATAGAAATATTCACTACCCCTCTGGATGCCGTGCACTACCTTTGGCAAGAGGGACAAGACAAACGCAAGGCGCAACGCCAGTGTCACTCATCGTGTACAGCTCTGGTATCTAGTATGACTTGTAAATCGCCCAAGGGAACCTGCGCAGAAGAGTTGTCAAAGTTATGGTGCCTAGCCCCTGCTGAATCGCAAATGACAAGGATGACACCACCCCACATTTTCAGCATCGCAGGTCACACTGATGGAGCTGCTGAAGTAGCCACTCGTCCACGCTGGAATACCCTCACGTACTCTACTTCGTCCGGTGTTGTTGGGCGCCCTCTCTCAAGCATGATGTCCACAGCTTCACTCTCCGGCCCCCGCGACACTCCCTGATATGACAACGCGACGTGAGGACAATGTGGCAGACTGGCCACTGCCCTCAGTACCAGGAGCATGTCCCTCAACTCGATTAGCTTCCCCTCGAACTTTTCTGTCTGGCGGCTCTTCTAGCTCCTCCTAATCCCCATCGTGCTGCAGGCCCCTCGCCGACCCATGATTGGCAACGACGTTCCTGGCGAACCACTTGAGGTTGGAAGCGACGTGTTGGAAGTAGTTGTGAGCGCCGCCAGGGTGCCTTCCTCCAAACGCCCATCCCTGTGAGCTGAAGCTCGCCGACCTTGCCGCTCCATAGACCATTCATTATGTTGTCAGTTCGTCGTAACCACAGTGCCGCAGCCTTTTGACGATCGTGTTCGGAGGTGGCCTTCTTGCCGAGCCCAAAGGTTGATCCCGCCGAGTTCAAGATGCCCTCGTCGGCCGCCATCTGCTCGAAGCGCTGGATGTCGTCCTGGGAGTCGAACAGCTTCTGCATTAGGTAAGCTGCTTCCTCGACCGAAAGCACATGTAACAGGGACGTGACATGGCAAACACAGGTATGCCTCCGCGCGGCATGGCAGCAGCAGCAGCAGCAGGTCACGTGGAGGGGGAACAGAGAAGTAACCAAACCTGGAATTCAGGCCCTTTGAGACCAAACGCTACGGACCCGCCGTCGCCACCGCCTCCGCCGCCTCCTCCTGTTCCTCCTCCTGTTCCTCCTCCTGTTCCTCCTCCTCCTCCTCCTTGCTCCCTCCTCCTCCTCCTCCTCCTCCTCCTCTGTCCCAATCCTCCTTCTCATCATCCTGTCCTCTCCCGCAACAAGAGCTCGCCGCGGGCCGATCTATTCAGGGCGGTGTCGTTTATGGGCGTCAGGGAGGGGCCAGCAGGGCGATGCCACTCGCGCAACAACAATCCACCGGGCGCGCAGCTAGCATTACTCCCCCCCGGTCTCGCGTCCTCGCGCGGTCCTGGGTAGCCCCGGGTCTCTCTGCCTACTCAGGGCGGGTCCCACGCTCCCCCCTCGCCCCCGCCGGTTCCCGCCTGCCAGTGGGGCGACGGCTCGTCAGCCCCCGCACCTCCTCGCCCACGTCCTCGTTTTATCAACCTCCTCCTCCTCCTCTTCCTCCTCCTCCGCCTGTTCCTCCTCCCCTCATCCTCCTACGTCGTTGGAAAGGGGATCATATTGTTTTCCTTGGGCGGGGTGGGTGCGAACTCTCTCTCTCTCTCCCTTTCTCACTCTTGTGTTCTCTCCCTGTCTCTCTTTCTCTCTCTCTCTCTCTCTTTGTTTCTCTTTCTTTTTCTCTTTCTGTTGTTCTCTCTCTCTCTCTCTCTCTCCTTTCGCTTCAGATCAGCGCCGCCGCCTGCACCGCCGACACCCCTGCACGGGTCCCCTGCCAACTGTTGGCGACGCATCGCCGACACCCCCGATCTGTCGGCGATGCCTTGCCGATTCGAAATTGATGTTTCCCCAGAAATCCGACGTCTTGTCTTGCTATTTTCTCATTTCGGTGTCCCCAGAAGTCCCGACCCTGTCCCCAGGGCCGGGGGTTCGTCCTTGGCTGTTCTCTGGTGGCCCCTGGGCCTGGCGAGGGCCCCTGGAGATCGAAGACCGTGAAAAGCCTCGGTCTCGATTGCCCCAAGACGTTGGATGAAGTCTGGGATCACAATGCGAGAACTGGCAAAACGACCTCCCCGACCACGTGCGCCTCTGTCGGGCGTTGGCAGAACTGGGTTTAGTGGAACCTGGTTTAGTGATTTGTACCGGGGGCGCCCCCCCCGTCCCATTTCCACTAAGCGGAACTGCCGTCACCCGAAAAACACCAGTTACTGCAAACCTGGTTTAGTGAATCTGTCCAATTGAGGGGCCCCAGGGCCCAAAAATATTCCAAAAAGAATCAAAAAATAATCAAAAAATAGTCTGGGGACTATTTTTTGCACATTTTTGACAATTCTGGGGCATGTTTCATGTATTTTCTATTTTTCGTCGAAAATCCCCCTGTAGGGAGACACGCCCGACAGAAATCGACCTCGACGTATCCGGGTCTGCCTCGCAGGACGACCGCGACGAGCCGCCGAGCCCTCGAGGACCTCTCCGATGGGTCGGCGGGGTGGCACAGGCCTCCGGGATAGTCCTTGAGCACCCAGGGGAATCCGCGGGCCCCCGGCGGCCGACCGGAGGCGCCGGCCCTCGCCGCCCCACGGCGGCGGCTGCCCAGGGCGAAGAGGTCGGCGGCCGAGCCCTGGGGGGCGGGCCTCCTCAAGAGGGCGCGGCACTGCCCCGGCCCCCCGGGGAGACTGTTCTCTCCGAGCCCGCCCCGATGGCACGGGAGCTCCTCTCGAGGGGGCCGCAGCGCCTCCGAGAAGCCCCGCCGCCTGCCGAGGGGGCCTCCTCCTCCTCGCGCCCCCGCCCCTCGCTCGCCGCCGAGAGCGGGACCCCGCGAGGGGCCACGGGCCACGCTTTGCCGCCGAGCCCGCCCCTGCGAGAGAGAGAGAGAGAGACGCCCTCCCCGCAGCCGCGGGGTCCGCGAGGGGGCCGCGCGGCACGAGGGACCCGGCCGCGGAGGCCACCCAGCGCGCGAGGCGGGCCCTTCGGCACGGCTGGCTCGTGCCGCCGCGGCGCCGGGCCGTGGCCTCCGACGCCGCGTGCAGGTGGTTCGGCCTCGGGCGATGGCGGTTTGCCGACGGCGCTGACAGGCTCTGAGAGAGGCCAAGTATGGGGCTCGGGCGGCGGTCTATCGGACGCGACGATGTGGGCGAGTAGCCCAGGGGCGGGCATTACACGCATTCGCCCGGGAGCCTCGCCGAAGGCATGGATCGTCGGCGCCCCTGGATACGTGTACTTGAGTATCGTTTATCCGACCCCCATCCCCAGCGGCGTGTCCTGGGCTCCACTGGTCGATTTACACCCATAGATGGGGATATAC